GACCTAACCCAAAGATCAAACGTCCTTGGGAGAGAGAGAGAAAGAGAGAGAGAGAGAGAAAGAGAGAGAAGGGGGGGGGGATCGAGAAAGGAAAAAGCGGTGTCTAACACAGGCAATAAATCTGTCCACTAACAGTGACAGTTTAGAGCGTCGTTTTCAGACTTGACCACCCGAGAACCTGCCTGGAAACAAATCTGTGGCTGACCACTGTCCACTTGCGGCCGGACATATCCGTGTGACCTGTTGTGTCCGAGCTGATCACACCACCCTCGGTCAGACCCGTTGACCAGTGTCCAGTTTCACGGACGGGGATCTGGCGCGGGTCCTAATGTCCAGTTTATCGTATCGTCTGGTCGCTTTGAGAGGTGACCCACGACAAGTCTTCAGTGGGACTGGAAGGGGTGGGGGGGGTGAGTTCTTTTTTCTTCCTTGTACCCTCCCCCCTCTCTTTCTTCCCCTCTCTCTCCCTTTCTCTCTCTCGTTCTTTCTCTCTCTCTCTCTCTCTCTCTCTCTCTCTCTCTCCCTCTCTCCTTCTCTCTCCCTCGGGCGCTCTCTCACCCTCTCGCCCTCACTCTCTTTCTCTTCCTCCCTGTCCCTCTCCAGACTGGGACTCACATGTTATGAGAAATGCCCAAATATAATTATATCGTTCTAAGTAGGATATTTTCACATACTCATACATGCTTGCTCTCTCTCTCTCTCTCTCTCTCTCTCTCTCTCTCTCTCTCTCTCTCTCTCTCTCGCTCTCTCTCTGCTGTTGTTGCTGCTGCTGCTGATATAATGCACTCAGGCTGACACAGAGCTATTATCCAACGTTATCCACCCCCTTCCCCCCTTTCCACCTGTGCTGGTCTGCCCTTTCACCTCCGTAAAACAGATTCACTGACTCGACCATAAACCCAGTAATAAACAGTGAGCCGCACAAAATCCGAAGGTAAACAGTCTTACGGTGGAGTTTTTTCTTTCTTTCAAAGTAATGAGTTAATAAGCTCCTCCGTTGTCAATTGTATATCTGAAGAGATTAGGATAAGGCTGTCATTGCTCGGGTTGCCACACCCCTACAAAATAACTGTTTGTCACACGGAACGTATCATTTTTCCCAATGTTTCTTTGATATAAATATATTTGCCCCTGGCACGGTTTGTCACTTTAGCAAAAAGCCAAACTGTATTCGAGACATAAAAGTATGACAGTCTCTATCTTGCACACGAAAAGCCTTTTCAAAAGTGCATGGCCACAGAACGATGATGGTGGCTGGAACACAACAGAGAGTCAAATGAATCAGAAATATGTAAAAAGGTTGATTATTGTAGGAAGACAACCCACATGACAGACTCTCATGCAAGTCTTCTAGAAATGAATGCCCTTACAAAAGTAAAACGTAAACAAGTGGTGTTATGACTATCTCGATTCTTAAGAAAAGCTACTGCGTGCTAATACTAAAAATATATTTACACCCCTTCCCCCTCCCCTTTACATTTGTTTTAGTCCCATAAAAACACATACAAACATAAATACATTCCCGCACATACACGCACATGCACTCTCAACACACTTTCATGCAAACACACACACACACACGCACGCACACACACACACACACACACACACACACACACACACACACACACACACACACACACATACACCACATAAACTAAACCCGTACACACATTTTTGTAAAA